GCCCTGGTTCGCCTCAGAGCGGAGACCCTCGGCCTGCGGCTGCGAGGCCTCCCCAGGGCCCTGGTGTATCGTGATTCCCCCCTCGGTTTAGCGCTCCCTGAGCCCGAAGCAGCCGGTTACCTCCCCCTGCTCGTGATCCAGCCCGTCAGCTTGCTCAGTATGTTACTATAGAGGAAGAGGGGCAGAAAAGGAGTCCGTTTGCCTTTTCGCAAAAGCAGCAGCAGCAGCCTGGCTGCATGGAGAGGTTTCCAGCTTTCCCAGTTTGTTTTCCTTGACCTGTTTCATTGAGTAACACGGCTCTTTTTTTTTTTTTCTCCCCTCTCTCGTAGTTAGCAGCTCTCTTTCTGCTCATATGGAGCCACCAACGGTTAACCAGGAAGAAAAACACACAGAAAAAGTAGGTTGGATGTGTTATCCTTTGCTGTCCGGCTACTGTTTGAACAAGGTGCTTTGCAGAGAAATTCAAGTCTCCTCTCCGTCAAAAGCCCTAAGCGTTTTAGGCCAAGGACTGGTGTTTTCTCAGTGTTTGTGTGATAGCTGCCCCCATGGAGTTGTGGTCTATGACTGGGCTTCCTGGCACTATAGCAAATCGTACTGATAAATATCTTGCGTAAATTTAAGTCTCGCTGCAGCTCCCCACAATAACAATCTTTCAAGGAGAATGAAATAACGTGTGTGAGGCAAAGCTTCAAAGTATGGTAGGTGGGCGCTTGGTTTCTGGGGTCTATTTCCAGTTGCAGGCTGGGAGCGTAGCCTAAAGGGTGCAGCAGTGGGGTCAGACTGTGGTTTTCTGCAGCTCTAGTTAGCCTTGAGTGAGTCATTTTTCCATTTTATACTTCCCATTCCTCAGTGGAGGAAAGGGCAAAAGCCTGATCCTCCTGTCCTTTCTTTCTCAGCCCCTGACTGCCAGCCACAGGAGTGCTTTGCCCTGCAGGAGCGCATGCACAACACGCTCCGGATCCAGACTAAGGTTGCTCTGGCCTATCTGACCCTCCCGATTGCAGTAGATCGTGCGGCTGCTGCTGCAAAGCCAGCAATGTAAGAGGGAGGAGCAGGAGGCAGGTCTGCAGGGCACAGCCTCTCTCCCCAAGTGACCCAGCCCCACGCTCTGCCCTCCAGTCACCTCTCCTTTGTATATCCTGCATGGAGGTGCGAGCATGACAGTCCATATTACAGTGGCTGTAACAGGGCTGCCCTTGGAACAGGAAGTACAATTATTATCGATGTTTTCTGTATGATTTTTTTTAAATGGTTCATAGCCTTCCCAAGGGCTGTTCAAAAGGACCTGCACTGAGGTGTTGGAGAGAGGAACCCAGCCTGTGGTTATGCAGCTTCTGTGGTGGACAGCTGACATTGATTTGAGCTTTGTGATGTTTCCCATAGTCTGTGGCTCAGCTAAGCTCTGCCCAGTTTCAGGAGTGCTAACTCCCAGTCTCCTGCTCTATTACTGTCCTGGTTCGTGGGGGAAAGAAGAAAGTGGGTACGTGGAGGTCTGTTGCCAAACGCTGAGCGGGGAACTTTGATAAGAGCAAGAGGAGTATGAGGAGGTACATGGAGCCCGTAGCTGGGAGGTTTCTGGAGAGGTGGATTCATGGGTTGTTTATTTGTGTGTGTGTATGTGTGAGGAGGAACACGTATATGGAGGTGTGGATTTGGGGAAGTTCTTGTGCCTTTGTGGCCTTCCTCCCACCAGAGGTCTGCAGGCAACTGCCTGAGCAGCATGGGAACAAGTGACCTCTCAAGGCTTCCTCCTGGAGATTGAGCCCAGCAGCTTTTGCTTTGGTTACCGGTTTTGCAATGGGGAGGTCAGTACGTTTCCTAATCTGTCGGAAACAGAAGGGCGGAGCGTCTCTGGTGTGAGGCTAGTTAGCGGAGTGGCCCTAATATACGAAGGTACAGTTTTGGGGGCTGTGTGCTGGGAGAGGCAACCCACATAGCTAACCTCACGTTTAAGGAATTTAACCGTGATCCCACTCCCTGCTCTCGTCCTCTTCTCCCTCATCATTTTGCAGAGTCTCTATGCAGTCGTCATTACTGGTGAGCTGGGCACAGCTGCTGGCCAGCCTAGTCTTCAGCATGCTCCTGCTGCTCCTCCTTGAAGTGCTTTTCCGAGCCGTGGTGGTCATCGGGTTCCTGCTCTACCTGCTTGTCGCTAATTGAAGGCAGGAAAGTGGGGAAGGCACCTCATCTCCCCCTTGGGCCCAGAACTCTTCAACGAGGAGATAAGAGAGGAGAAATACACAAACTGCCGGAACAGATGGCGAGAAACGTGAACAGTAGTCAAAGGAAGAGGGGAGGTATGGACTTTTTCTGGCTTCCTATGTTCCATCCTGGCTTGGCAGCTTTGTTTACTTCACTCCCAAAGCACTAACTCCAGCAAACCTGAGCTATAGGTTCAGGTCACTGGTCCTCTCCTAAATAAAGGGCAACCAGGTCCCGGAGAAGTGGCACTGCCTCGCTCCAGGGATCAGGTGTACCTTCCAGGCACCAGCCTGTCCTGCCAAGCACCAAAACCCCCCTGCCCCTCCAGCCGCCTCCCCTGGGGCAGCGGGGCCTGGCACAGGCAGCAGCTCTCCGTTTTCTCCCCCGGGAGGGGTTCTTCTTAGTATTTGTTTGGACTAAAAGCTGGCGTTTTGCAGACGCTTCTGCCAGGTTTCCTTGGGCAAAGCCTCTGCCCCGAAAGGGGACCCAGCGGCGGCGCGCTGTGCGCAGGCGCGGAGTCCGGGGGGGGGAGGACTACCTTTCCCAGAGTGCTGC